CTCAGACTTGCAAAAATTGCCTTACGACTTGACCTTGCAAACACTGACTTGCTACCACCTCTGGGGGTACACTGTTAAGTCCTGTCACGTCCCTACTTTGTCCGACTACACGAGCTTCGTCTGCAACCTACTCAAGCCAAGCACAACTGTCAACACATTTGGGCATGACCAACTTTGATTATCTAGCAGAAATGCGCATATAGTCAACCTCATTGATGCGATATCCCTCAGACTTGCAGATTACCTCGTTTTAACAGGAAGCTTGTTTTATCAGGAATGACAACAAAGAAGAACGAAGGATTGGGGCCTAAAATATCCCTGTTATACATGTAAGCAGAATGTTTCTTATTAACAATAATAATTTTTAAAGGTTTTTATGTCGCGGTTGGGATGAACATTCCTGTATACATGTACCTGATAAAGAAGTGCATTCAGCTAAAACCATGGTTTCCGGTTTTGAGGATATTTTTCCTGCTGTCAGTTGGGTTATGGGTTTAATTGCGCATAACATATTCAAGGGGAAACTCCCATCCAAATCTTTCCACACAATGCCATTTCAGAGTTCTCCCATCACCCCCCCCAAAAAAATGGACACTCCACCAATCAAAGACAATTACAATGGTAATTTTAAAAAAGGCTTTAACTTACTTCATAGCTGCCATCTCTCTGCTTTTCAGAATTTTATGGTGTCCAACTTTTTTTTACTCCTTCAGCAAAATCTGTTAGAATGGGAGAGAAATTGAGGATTTGAATATCGGGAGAGCAAATTTTTCAATCAGTCACTGCTTTGCTTTATCTTTTTTGCCGTGAAAAAACTTCCAATCAAGCAGATAATTTCTTGAACACTTGTACTCTATCACTTTGAACTTGAAGAAAACTTAAACACGCATCCAAGATTTCATGTAAAATTAATCAAGTTCAAAGATCATGAAGACGACACAATTTGTGGCTTTTAGTTTCTATACAAAAACAGCCATTCCCAATTTCTGCTGAATTGTGGCTGAAATTAATGGTTCTAATACTCCCACCAAAGACTTACCCCACTGGAAAAGTAAAGCGGAATGTTCCATGGGAAATGCTTCTAGGGGAGTCACACATAAATAACATATCCAAAACATTCATAGCATTCATGTATCATGTGACAACATTTAAATAGGGCGCCACCTACTAAAAAAAGTAAGCACTCCACTCAAGAAATACGTATGGCCTGTCTGAGCTGCCGGGGAATTCCCACTGTAGAGATCGGACTTGTGGGAATTCCCTCTTAATAAAGGGCTCCACCAAGCGGCTTGCAAGCGGCAACGAAACCAGGAAGTTCATGACGAATTACAGTACATCATGCTGCAGGCAAAGCTTTAATAGTTTGAAACTTGAATCATGAAAAAATCATCATGGAGGCATTTGGCAATAAAACATTAATTTAAGCGCCATTCTATGTCAACAGGCCAATCGCGAATTGAGGTTTGTATGTTGTATTATGTTTAGGGCCAAGTAATTGGCCTTGCGACATGGTGGTGCCGTGCATGTCGGATATGAATAGGTTCGATCAAAATTAAAATATTTCTCAGTCTTAGATTGAGCCGAGTGATAGCCCAACTCCTCACCGTTTTCATGAAGAGCCTAACATGTCAAAAAGGGCTTTTTTTCGATTTGGCGTTTTTCAATATTGTTTTCGAACATTCTACTTGACCTACAAGCAAAACATAACGTCAAAGTTACATTAATGTTGTCACTATCAGGGGCAAAAATCGTGATAAGTGCATTTTCATTAAGAGGCACAATCTGACTGCCCCGCATACACACACAAAATGTAACTGCAGGAAAGACCACAAAGTAGACTTAGGTCAACTGATTTTGGTTTTCACAAAGTGGCACACGCCTTCATACATATATATTCACAGCAGCGGGCACTTAAACATGCATGCCCCTACCCTATGGCAAAAATACAGAACGTAGGAAAACATGGATTTTGGACTCATCTTTACCATTTGATTTCAGCTTATTCAACCAGTCTAATGCTTGCCCCCAGTGTACACAAAGACCGTGATATATTTGAACATTAGGCCTATATCCCCAGATCTGTAGATCATGCAATCTGGAACAACAAAAGTTCTAATTAAAATCCTTTGTTTTTACAAAGAATTAATGGCATTGGTCTGATACGGTACGTCTAAATTAAAGATTGTTGCACCTGCGATCTCTGCTCTCTTCAACTTAAACAAGAAAATTTCCTGAATATTTTTATTGTTTTAGGGTGTATTGTTTAGGCCACATGAAAAAAGTAACAAGTTTAGCATCAGCGCCCGCCTCAAAATCTTGGGTTTTTTTTCTTTAAAAGTTGTCTTTTCCGATGTCCTTAGCTGTCCCCCATAGTTTCTATGATGCCCACACAACCTAGTGCACACACCATGCAACCCGAGTACATACACACAATGCCATGTGCACTTCTGTGCACGAGTCTGAAGTGAACATGGCGATTTCATTCTGTGGTTGCAGCAGGGTGCAGATTAGCATGCATACCAAAGTACATGTATTTAAAAAAAAAAAAAAACTCCCTCATTTTTGGTAAATACCACTGATGCTCAACTATCTTTTTTAAGTGGCCTTAGGTATTGACAACTAGCATAACCAATTTCTTTTGTATGTTTAATTTGAAATTTGGGTTTTCTGTGCAGTCATGTCATTTGTTCCCGATTTTGTGATATCAACTTTGTCCAAGTAGTTACATTCTGCACCAAAATTAGCAAAATATCGTACAGTATTAGCATGTAATGGTGAATTCTTTTCACAGCTACCAGAGATGATTTGCCCAATGTCCTTTGCTGTCAGATCTTGTTTATTTTTCAAACCTCACATCTTTTGAATTTGTAAGGAGTGCATTCATCATTTTTTCACCCTTTTTCATTGCAGTCCAAGTTTCTGCAAGTGGAAGTCAACTGCAAACTGAACAAAACAGAAACTACTGTCACTTTCACAAAGAGGATGATACTTTTGTCCGTGTTATAAGCATATTGATGAGTATCATGTCACAAACAGGTAAAATATACATGTCTGAATCCCACAAAAATGAGTTATGGCCACATTTTCAATAATTTTATTTCAGTTTGCATCAGAAAGAACTAACCGAGTTCAGTGTTTTGACATTTAACATTACAATTTGGCATCTTGGTGAAAATAATGAGGGTTCCAGTTGTACATGTACGGTGGGCAAGATTCTTCAAAGGCCTTAAACTAATTACATGTAGTGGCTCTAGGGCCTTGGGACTCGTGTTAGGTTGGTTCACAAGTCAAACAGATAAATTTACTCATTCAAGACAATTACCTTGTGTATACTCTCTGGATTTGATGAAATACATAAAATAATTTGAAATGTTTTATTTAGCATATGATTCCTGGGTACAAAAATGTTTGTGTCATTCACCATACAGTCACTTGTGTTGCTGTGTAAGGCATCGAGTATACAATACCTGAACATGAGTTGGTAGTTTCCATCCACAAACAAGGAATTTACATGTATATGTAATAGTCATCTCATTGGTACTGCGAGATTCTCCCTTTATTATAATCGAGTAGGCAAGGCTTGTTTATGGAACCTGGGCAACTTTTAAGGCCAGCTGCTATTGTAGAACCATTTTGGATTTTATGCAAAAGGATCAATTTGTCACTTTTCCCAGAATCTTGAAATGTCTTTCTGATTTTTTTTATTTGAAATTGTGGCACAGTAAATTGCTTCATGTCATTAACCCCTTTGACAGGAACTTCATTCTGAAAGCCGACTCCAAGAATTCCAGCCTCGCTTGGCCACGAAGGCCACCTGCCAAACCGGAAATTCTCAGTTTGTGGCCCAGTGTGCTCTGCACGCTTTGAATTACATGAATTTCATTGAATTGGCATGTGGCTCTACTCAAGCTTCCACATTCCCGTTGCCTCTTTTCAAAGTGCGGACTATTGTGAAGCTGG